GATTTTGTCTAAGTCATTGTCAAGTAGTGGTAGTCTGGGTGGGTGGTAACAGGACACCACCGCAACGTCTCCATGCCGTAGCGATCTCACCGCTAAAGCCGAATTGATATTAATTTGAAGTCAATTTTTGTAAAAATGCATAAATGATTATTTACACACTATTTATTATGACTAATGTTATGAGGCTACATCCTACATAATACTAATTACTAAGTTGGTAGTTTGCAGTTTTATTTTTTTTGAGTAATGTAAAAGTAATATTGTTTAAATACCCTATATTTAAAATTTAAATATACAATATTCAACTGATAATATAGTAAATAATAACGTAGTTGAAATGAACTCTTGAGGGTAAAAATACTTCAAAGCTGCTTCAAAGTGCTATAGCTTTTTTAATGCATATGTGTCTGACGTCATAACATTAGTTCGTAAAAAATTGTTTTGGTTAAACATTTTAATGGTCAATACCATTTGGGCCCTAGCCGGCGGGGCTCAGCCAGGACAAAAGGAGGTCCCACAAAGCGCCTACACCGGCCGCATTTGCGGTCGGGGTAGACGACGGATGGGGCCCACCTACGAAGGCTGTCCAGGCCTACACGAGATGAGGCAGGATAAAGAGGGATAATCCCCCTCGATCCCAAATCATTGAGGCCAATTTCTAGCCATGGAATAATGGCGAATACCACAGACTTCTTCAATACCACAGAATACTCAGTTGTCATCTTCGAGCATATACTACTGGAGGTGGCATGCCATTGGGAAAAGTGTGGCTGAATGTGCGAAAGAGACAGACCGTATCTCAGACTGTGTAGTCTCCATGAGTTGGAGTTTCATTTCCAACCAATCGCGGCGTGCTAGAGTGAGACAACATATTATTAGATATTCTCTCTCTCTCACACACACTCGGCCACACCTTTCTCAATGGCTTGCTATCTCCAGTAGTATATGTTCGAAGGTTGTCACGTGGTCATTGTTGTCATGACAACATATTAACTTGTCGATTGTCAAATTTTCTGATAAAGTGTCAGACTTGTCACTTTTTTGTTTTTGTTCACGTCTTCATTTGATTCAAAAAATTATATCAGTCATTAATCACTGTAGATGCTCGTCTTATCAATGTAGAAGGGACCAATACCGTAAATATTGGTTTTATTTTAGAGTATATTTGTTTATCACAATTACAGTTTTATATTGATAAGGACAAATAAAAATCAAAATGACTTCTATGTTTGATCAGTTCGAACAAGCATTCTTAAGAACAAAGAACAATAATATTAGTACTGCAGAAATGGTAAGTTTACATTGATTTGTTAAATTCTTTGTAATTTGTAACATAATTGTTTTAGAGTACATTAGGATACATAAACATGATGATAGATCAGGAAGTTCCAATATTTAGTAAAAGTAAGAAAGATTTTACACCATCCGATAGAATTACTCACGTTGCTATTGCCAATAAACAATTAGTCGTTGCAATGGCAAACGGAATATTATTCCGCATGAATTTGCATAACCCACAACAGCAAAGTGGTAAACATAATAGATAATTTTATCGAATAGTAAAATAATATTAATTGACATAATTTTCAGAAATCTCTTTAATCAAATATACAAGCACTTACAGATTAACAAATCTATTCCTGGACCCAACAGGCAACCACTTATTACTAACATTTGGCCAGAAAACTTCAGAAAGCGGTCCAGAACTATTGTATCTTTCTAGGAAAACAGACAAATTGAAGACTACAACAAAATTTCGTGGCAATGAATTTACTGCCGTGGCATGGAATCAACTTAATGATTCAGAGGGTACAACTGGATCTATCCTTTTAGGTACATCTAAGGGGTTAATATTTGAAACGGAAATTGTATTAGAAGGTGATAAATTCTTCACGTCAAGCTTGGAGCAGTATTGGAGGCAGGTAAGAAATCTCTTGTGATTGAAAGATGTTGGTGTAGTATTAATATTTTCACATAATTATACATTAAAACTTTCACAAAACTAATTACATATTGTCTTTTTTATAAGCTGCCAAATTATTTACCATTATATGGTAACAAGGAGGCAGATGGTTTGGTAAAGTATATGTAGTAGTGTCAATCTTACCTCATAGTAGAAAAAAACATTGCATTTTTATTATATTTATGCATGGTTTGTTTCATCACATAAGTGTTTTATTATATTTTTTGTATCAGTCACAGTGATTTTATAACATTTATAAGAAGACTGTTAACATTATTTTTTTTTTTAACTTAAAATACTATATAGGTCTTTGACATAGGAAAAGGCACCAGCATACCCATCACAGGCTTGGAATATTATAGAATTCCCAATACGGACAAATACATCATCTTCGCCACAACTCCTTCCAGACTGTATTATTTTGCTGGAAGAGCGGACATAGATGAAAAACCGCTTTTGCAACAAGTTTTTAACAGATATTTGAACATTCCTGAACCTGACACTTATATCGAGTGCAAAAGCAGCTTGAGGTACTCCCGATTGCAATTCTGGTCTGAAAATTTGATGACGCCCAATTCTTTCGCCTGGATAACAGAAAAAGGGATAACATATGGAGAGGTGGGTAATTTAGATATTCCGAAATTAATCGATTGTTCTCGTATTAAAGAAGAGACGTTACTTGTATTTTAGATTAACCCATCTACAGATGATAATATACAAGCATTAAAAAATAAAATTAAAATTATAAATTACCCAAGGCCTTTGTATGAAGATTATGCTGTTTCTCCAAAGTATCCCATTGCGATTGCTTTGACGCAGTTTCACATTCTTTTAGCCTATACCGACACTATTAAGGGCTTGTGTTTGCTGAATCAAGAAGTTGTCTATGAAAATAATTATAACGAGGCTTTTGGAAAGCTAGTTAATATTATTAAAGACGTTCGTACAGGTAAAGACACTGTTTAAGGATGTGTTGGTAATTATATTTGAATTCATATGATTTTTAGGCGATATTTGGGCAATAACAGAAAATGCTGTTTTTCGATTCAAAATCACTCGAGAGGAACGCAACGTTTGGCAGATTTTCTGCAAAAACGAACAGTTTGATCTAGCGAAAAAATATTCCCGAAGTAATGAGGCGTGCTACAACCAAGTACTGATAAAAGAAGCCGATATGCTGTTTAACAACAAACAGTACGAGTTGAGTGCTCAACGATACGCTGAAACTCAGTCGAGTTTCGAGGAAATCTGTTTGAAATTCATACAGGTTGACCAACAGGATGCGTTGAAGTTATTTTTGAGGAGCAAACTGGATACATTGAAGCCACAGGATAAGACTCAGATTACGATGATTGTTATATGGGTCGTGGAGCTTTATCTGACCAAGTTGGAGGAGAAACGTTTGGAAGGACTTGAACAAAGTGCAGCTTATGCAGATATTCAAAAGGAATTTGAGACATTTTTAGCCCTTCAAGAAATTTCAGAATGTATTAAAAATAACAAGGGCACTATTTACGAGTTGATGGCTAGCCACGGGGACAAGAATAACCTCATCAAGCTTACGATTGTAAATAAAGATTTTGAACAGGTATTTTTTCAGTAATTTATATAATTTTTTTTAAATAAACGTTTTGTTCCAGTTAATACGTCAGCACATATTTAAAAATAATTTCCATGAAGCCCTAGAAGTCCTCAAGAGCCAGAACAATTACGAATTGTATTATCAGTTCGCACCGATTTTAATTCAAGAGGTGCCTAAACACATGGTCAAGGTCATAATGGAGCAAGAACGGAGATTGTCGCCACTGAAGCTCCTTCCGGCTATGGTGTCCTGCAATGGCGAAATGCATGCTGTAGAGGTCATCAAGTACTTGGAATTTTGTATCGACAAGTTAAAAAACACCGATAAAGCCATACACAACTTTTTGGTTTCGCTCTACGCGAAGCACGACCCACAGAAACTCATGGAATATTTGAATTCTCAGGGTCAGGAACTCAGTTTGGTATAAAACTTCGTTCTATGAAACTCTATAACATTATTTTATGTTTCGTTTTAGGTTAATTACGATGTACATTTTGCTTTAAGATTATGTCATGAAAACAATCTAACGGAGGCATGCGTCCAATTGTCCGGGTTGTTAGGTCTCTGGGAGGCTGCTGTGGACCTGGCACTCACCGTAGATTTGGAATTGGCAAAGAAGATGGCTAACATGTCGCCAGAAACCGATGCAGAACTGAGGAAAAAGTTATGGCTTAAAATAGGTTAGTATTCAGTTAAGGCCTACTGGTTATTTGAACTACTGATGTTTTAAATGTTTTTGCAGCTCAAAATGTAGTGAGCGGAAAAGACGACATTCAACAAGCAATGGCTTTCCTGAAGCAGTGTGATCTGATAAAGATCGAAGATATCTTACCGTTTTTCTCGGATTTCGTTACAATCGATCACTTTAAAGATGCGATCTGTGATTCCCTTAAGGTAAGACTGTGGTACATTTGACCTACTATGTATAATTTTATGGAACGTTTTATTGTGTCCAGGAATACAATCAACACATTCAAAACTTGAAAGACGAGATGGAGGAGGCGACTAAGTCTGCCGAACAAGTTAGGGACGAGATTCAGTCATTCAGAAACCACTACACGCTTATAAACAGTTCGGATACTTGTGAAGTTTGCAATATAACTCTTTTGGTAAGGCCTTTCTACATGTTCCCGTGTCACCACAAATTTCACACGGATTGTTTGTTGAACGAGTTGGGTCCATCGTTAGGTAAGATAATGTTATTCATAAATCTCAGGTATAACAAAGTAAATTTTAGGTCCTGCTAAGAAAAATAGACTGGCAGATCTGGAAAGGCAATTGAGGATACTGAATAATCAAACCACTGTGGATAATTTAAGCACCTGTTCTGCTGGAATGTCGGCTAAGGAGATCGTAAAATCGGAAATCGATAATATTGTAGCATCCGAGTGCTTGTACTGCGGGGAGAATATGATTAGGAATATCGATAAGCCATTTATCGAGGACTTTGAATACGAACACATTATGAAGGAGTGGCAGTAATGTTTATTATTTATTTAATGTTGTATTATAAAATATGAAGTATAACTACAGTCATCGTGTAATATACATGTTTTATTGAATATATGCAGCGTGAATAAACAGTATTTTTGTTTTTTTACTAAACATTGAGTACAAAATTAAATATTAAAAAATGTAGTATAAGCTGCTGTAGACTTGGAATTGACTAAGAATATGACTAACATGTTGCTAGAAACCAATGTAATACAGGAAAAGTTACAGCTTAAAGTAGGTTAGAATTCGGTCGAGACCTAATAGTTATTTGAACTACTGATGTTTTAAATAAAATATGTGTGGAAAAGACAATACAGGGTGTTTCTGAAATAAGTGCATTCCTTGAAAAGAGTAATAGAGGGCATAAAAATAAACAACTGCTGTACGAAAGCGACGATAGCGATTTTGACGGTTTAAACTTTGTGTTCGAAAATGCTGAAATTTATTCAAAAAAAAACGAACTTAAACGAATTACGAAAGTTTCTATGTGCTATTATGCTTTCCAAATGACGGTCAAAATTCTGTCACCAACAAACACCACATTCACCTAAAACTGTTGCAGAAACCGAGATCTCTGTACAATGTATAGATTTGCATCACGCCAATAGAGAATGTTGTGAAAATTTAGTATGCTGTTTCTAGTAAAACAACATTCACCCGTAAAAAGCACCTTGTTTGTAAAATTTGGATTTTGTGCTATTTGATGTCGAAACCACTGGGAAAATTCCGCACGGGGCTGAAAATCATTGTTATTTAATGCCTGAACCGTTTGTATATGATTGGAGTGTAATAATTGTTCCCGTAGTACATGCCGCACAGTACTGTTGGTTTTATACGCCGGCTAATACAGCGACACACAACGCACGTGCACAAGATGCACAGGGTCGGCTTACATTTATGGTTAATTTTTTTAATTTTCTTTGATCATCAGTTGTTTAATAAAATTTCGTGCCCTCTATCGCCCTTTTCAAGGAACATACTTATTTCACCCTGTATACAATATTCAATGGTTTTGCTGAAAAAGGTCCTATTACAATTTTTCTCAGATTTCATTACAATTGATAATTTTAAAGGTGCAATACTGTGATTCCCTTGAGGTATAGTTATGGTACATTTGAACTACTCTATGTAATTTTATGAAACATTTTATTGAATCCAATAGTAGTTAAACGAAAAACATAATATGTGTAATACAATCAACATATTCAAGACTTGCAAGATGAGATGGAGGCGAGTAAGTCTGCCGAATATCAATACCTACACCATTTATCGAAGAATTTGAAAACAAATACATTATGAAATAAAACTACAGTCACAGTATAATATACATGTTTTATTTTACATACTCAACATGAAATAAACAATATTTTTGTTTATTTATTAAACAATTGAGTACAAAATTAAATATTAACAACATACACTTAAATATATACAGTCGTAAGATACAATAGGCAACTTTTTTATTACTTTCTTTCTTTAAAAGGTAACAATTTTTTACATGGAAAAAAAATATAAATAAATCTTTAAAAATTTTGGTAAAATACACCAAATATACATAGAGAAATATATAAAATATAAATAAAATAATATAAAACAAAGCACCAATATTTTTTTCAATTTTAGATTAAGACGGTATATTTCAACTATTATTTAAATATTACTGAATAATTCTTTACATAAATTTTACATCACAAATAAAATATGGTATAAATAATAAAAATATCATTAATATGTACAAAATGGACTCTTTTCATTGGTGTATTAATATCAGTAACGTCCTTAGATAATAACTACTTCAACATATAATATTTATGTTTATGTTACTATGCTAATTATTGATACTTAAATACACCTTTCTAAAATTAATATCAAAAGTTAATTATGTATTACACTGTAAATGATCTTGTTTAGAAATAAAGTGAAAACAACAACTCGTAACTTGGAGATGTGCCAATTTCGGAATCGATAGCATGAACAGTTAATTAATTCCAAACGAGTTGTATTTTAAGAATAGATGTTACAATTTAAAAAAACGAGTTTACAAAACATTTTGGGTATTTCAGTATTAATTGACCAAATTTAAATTTGGATGGTCCAAGTGAGAAAAAAGTCAAATGAAGGAATATATCCGCAAACACATCGTTTTCAAAATACAGGGACTCGAAATTAATAAAAAAATTAACGTTTCCTAAATTATATAAAGACTTTTAATGTAGGACGATTAATGGGTAACTAATCTAATGATTTCTTTAACTAAAAGTAAATAGGTGCCAAAGAGTGACTCCGAATATCGCCCATTTTGGCAAACTCGTAACTTGTTAAAAATTTTGTGCTAAGTTTTTGTATATCATTAGAACGTGTTACTGAGAAAGTTCCAAGATGACTTTAGCTTTGGTTTTGGAGATATTAGTGATACATGTCATAATACTCATGATCTCATGTATGGAACATATCACTTTAAACCTTTTAAGATTCACTGTATTTAATCCACTTGAAACCTGAACATAAACTAAAAACTATTAGCTCAAACTTTCTATTTCTCTTGATTGAAAGATTGGAAATACAGATTCGATCTGTGGTTAGTGTGGTTGCAGATTTCTGTTTAACAATTTCTATAAAGGACAATGTTTTGCCACACCGACACAAGATGGCCTTAGCGAATGCATGCTCCGTCCTCCCTATCCAATCAAATCCTCTTATTTAATCTCATATGGCTTGCTCTATCATACGGTCAAATTTACAAAAAAAAAATCATAAAAAAGCATTCCCGACGTAAATCTCATTGAAGCCTTAAGACACCATATAAAAGCGTTCTCATGAGAACAACCCCCAAAGGACTATTCCTGCCAAAGTAGACGTTACGAATTACTAAATCGTAAGGAACCTCTTCCATCCAAACGTATACTTCTCATTTTGTAACTTTTCCTTCCTCATCACAATTCGATGTTTTTTTTTTTTCTTCAACAAATACGAGTCTATCAGACTTTCTTGACTATTGAATTTGTGGCAATCATTATTTGTACGAGGTCTGTCCCAAAGGTATTCGACCTTCTTTCAAATCTTCGCGCCTGAGAATTTTAGTGGCCCCTACCGGATACAAGTCTCAAATGTAAAGCTTCACAAACTTCCCAGATGCAGCAGTTTTCATCGGGACGCCTTAGTTCACGTGCAGCGTGCATTTACGTTTATCACATTTTGCTTTAAACTCGAAAAGAGTTGTGCGGAGACCATCGAAAAGATGAAGACAGCATTTGGGGACGAGTGTATGAACAATACACAAATAAAAGAGTGGTATAAGTGGTTCAAAGATAGCCACATCTGTTGATAGTAACCCACGCTCTGGGCGGCCTATCGAACGTGTGCGACTTGCAATCAATGAAAATCGTCGATAGACTGTGCGAGAACTGGAATGTGATCTTGGAATACCAAAAATTGGTGTTTGGAAGATTTTAACGGAAAATTTGCAAAGGGTGTGTGCAAAATTCATTCCGAAATTGCTAACGACGGAGCAGAAAAACCTTCACCTTAAAATCGGTCAAGACAATAATGATAAAAATCTGCTTAAAAAGATTATAACTGGTGATGAACCATGGGTTTATGGTTATGATCCCGAAACAAAATGACAGTTTTCGCAGTGGAAGCTGTCGTCGGAGCCACGACCGAAAAAAGCGCGCCAAAGTCAGAGCAATATTAAGTCGTTGCTGTTTTTTTTTATTATGAGGATGTGGAGCACCACGAATATGCTCCTAAACATCAGAATCAACATAGAATAATATCTTGAAGTTATGAAAACATTGCGTGACACAATTAGAAGAAAACGGCATCAACTTTGGTCAAGCAATGACTGGCTTATTCATCACGATAACGCACCAGCGCATGCATCGAACCTCGTGCTTCAATATTTGACAAGGCACAAAGTCATACAGCTTTGTCAGCCTCCATACAGTTCTGACATAGCTACCTGCGACTTTTGGGTGTTCCCAAGATTAAAGATGCCACTCAAAGAATACCGATTTGACGACAAAGAAACAGTCGAAACTAATACGAGTAAAGTATTGTTGGGAAAGTGTTCTTCAATCACATGGGGACTACTTCGAAGGATGCCACCAGCCCGAAGATGCAGAATAACACCAACGGGGAAATATGAAGTAAGGTCGGATACTTTTGGGACAGACCTCGTATAGCTGAATTTATAATAAATAATGTGCCCACAAACATTTAGTTATTGAGGCATATATGCATTAATCTACATTTTTTAATTTATAGATTTTTGTAAAGATTTTTACGTTTTTAGGGAATCCAAAGTATTATATTGCTATTGTACGAGTTAATTACTCATTCAAAGTTGTACGTCAAAACTTACTTTATTATTTTCATTCATTCTGAATTTGTTCGAACACGATTTCCAAATTGTACAATTTTTTTAAATACACATCTGTTTACTGCACACATTGGTTTAACACCTACATCAAATGTCTTCAAGGATATTTAAAAAAAAATGCGGATTATTAGAATCCTCTATCTCAAAAGTTAAGTACAGTAAAAGCCGCTTAATGATAATGCGGATGCCGGTTTATGTGGACAGCCGCTTTATACGGACAAATTGACCTGGTCCGGAATCAAACAAGGCTTTTGTGTACTAAAATACTCCGCTTAATGAGGACAAAAAGCAGGGAAGGATCCAGATGTTGAAGACGCTCTACTAGAATGGTTCACCATTGTTACCGGCCATGGTGTTCAAGTGACAAGACCCATGTTGCATGGTAAAGCTGAGGACTTAGCCAGAAAACTAGGACATGAGAAGTTCACAGCTACTGATGGTTGGTTTAATCGATGGAAGGGCAGACATGCTATAAAATTTCAGAGCCTATGGAGAAAAGGGAAGTGCAAATACGGAAAGCGTAAAAATGTGGAAGTTAATAAGACTCCCAGAAATAATGAAGCAATTTTCGCCCGAAGACATTTACAAAGCCAACGAAACAGGGCTTTATTACAGAGCAACACCAGACGGCTCATTCTGTTTTAAATGAGAAAAATTAGTTGGTTCGAAAAAAGCAATGGATAGGGTAACATTGTTAAGCCGCGTGAACATGGCGGGAAGTGACAAAAAAAAGTTGCTCGTGATCGCTAAAAGCAAGAACCCACGGTGTTTCAAGCACATTTCGGTAGACCGACTACCAGTCGAATACCACGCAAATGCGAATGCGTGGATGACATATTCTATTTTCACGGAGTGATTGACAAAATGGGACAGAGTTGCAATGGAAGTCCAGATCGATAATGCTTGTACTCGATAACTGCGCTGCCTACCCAAAGATTGACTCGTTAAAAAACGTCACCCTTGAATTTTTACCGGCAAACACGACGTCGATAATTCAGCCCTTGGACATGGGTATCATAAAAAATGTTAAAGTCAAATACAGAACAAAAGTAGTGAACTACATTCTTGAAAAAATAGAAGAAAATTTCCTTGATCGAAACTGTACGTCAAAGGACATAAGCGGTAAAATAAACAGTTTACAAGCAATAAACTTTGCGTCAGACAGCTGGCAAGACGTTAGCACCAGCACCATAAAAAACAGCTTCTCTCATTGCGGTTTCAAAAAAGGTGACGAGATGGAAGAGGAGAACGAAAAGAATTTGTGAATTTGGAAGTCGATGTAAAATGTTACGACGACAATGAAAATCTAGATGAAACTGTGCTTGAAAAATTTAAAAGCACGGAACAAGAAAGTAGCGACAGTGAAGATAAAACACCGCCGTTTCAATTACAAGAAGCGCGTAACGCCGTCGAAATTTTAACAAGATATTTTTTACAGACAGGCAACGACGACAGTCAAATAGAATGTTAAAAGTTTGTTCAGATTATGTGACCAGAAAAGGTCTTACATTGAAAAAGCAAAAGATCATGGACGATTATATAAAATAATTAACTAGCCTGAGTTGATTTTTTAATTTTCAGTTTTAAGTACAGTATGTACATACGTATCGTCCCCCTTATCACGTAGGGACGTATAATCCAAGAAATAGATATACACATACGCCTCTACGTGATAATAGGGACAATATGTACTTGTTTATATGTACTGTATACCTCTTTATAAAACAAAATTTATACTAAACGTCAGTACTACTTATACTATTTTAACTTATTTAGCCCTTTTATAGAATGTTTTTCATGTTTGCGTTAAAATATCGGTTGTTTATTTGTGTAAGTTTGGTTTATGCAGACAGCCGCTTAATGCGGACAAATCTCGTTTCCCCGATGTGTCCGCATTAAGCGGCTTTAACTGTATTTTATTTCTCATTTTGACAACCCAGTTTAAGTTTGGCAAATTAATTCCGCAACGCCCTGTATAAAAGACTAATTAAAAATTTATAAACGATATACTTCCACAGATACCGTTACTCGCAGGGAATCGTCACAGCTCCGAGTTAAGGCTGGCTAACGCCGGGCTAATGTAAATGCTGTCGTTTGGTAAATCGGAAAACAACAAATAAACCTCCTAACTTGTCTTAACTTACGTAATCAATATTTCTAACAGGACTTTTCACTATTTTACATCACCTGAGATGTTGACTGAACAACTATGCTTATTCAACGAAAATCGTATTTCAAAAAATAGTTCGAAAGCCTCGTTAATGTTCTAAGACGCTTTAAAGATTTAATCTATTATTGTCTTCGATTCACTACAACGGGCAAGGGGTAGGGGGGGGCCCGGGGAACATAACATTACCGTTTAAAAAAGTGCAATAGGAAGTTGTGTGACAATTTCGACAAACAATGAAACATTAACGAGTATTCGCACGTCTACAACAAGGGGTATACAAATAAAACGTACTCAGTGGCGGGCGCCAGTTCACTGCTGATTGGTCGTGAAGGCGCTGATTCCATTGTTGGCCATCTCGTCCATTATTTCCGTTACGTAAGCGGCGACGTCCACCTCCTCCTTCTGGGCCCTCAGTATGAACGGGTCCTGGAGCAGTTGCTTGTATTTTGGCCTCTGGTGTTCGTTCTTTAACAAACTGAATAAAAAAATAAGTTATATTTTATTAGTTTGGCAGATAACGTGCACAGTTGTTTAAAGTTACAGAGGGAGGTATGAAAAATACTGAAAATTACTTACCAAGTATTTACAAAATTAACAAACTCAGCAGTGAAAGTATTCGCGTTGTGGTTAGTTGTTAGCCGAGGTGGTTCTCCGTTTACCACTTCGTGGAGTTGATCGAATACGCTTGACCACCTCTTGTAAGGGAAATGCCCTGTCGCCACTTCCATCAACGTGATTCCTAACGACCAGACATCGCTTCTGACGTCGTAACCTTTCGCGGTCTGAGGATCTATTCTTTCAGGCTAAATGTTTGCAAAATTAGTATTTTTAATGTAAAACACAGGAAAAAAGATAGATTTAGCTGTTGACCATACGTTCTTCGGGCGAAAGCAATGAGACTTAGACAAGCATCAAAGTTACTTGCTTACTAAACTTAAACAAATATTTAATTGAAATTTTACATAGTCTTTCATACTGAACAAGCGTAATTTTGTGGTTTTATAAAAAAAATTGCAAGAAATGAAGAAAAGGAAGTTGTATCTATTTTTTATATTTTTTAGGTGAAGAATTAATTTCTTTGATTATTTCCTCTATTGTAAAATTTTTATTTGAGACACACCCTTATTTAATAATGCATGATATCAATTCAAATATGTTTTCTCATAAAAGCGGCATATTTATTCTTTTTCAGCGTCCTTATATTCTTAAGGCAGACGTCATATTTTTTTATTTGCTCAGGAAAGCATATTAAAATAAAGGGTAATTATTGTGACAAATATACAGGGTGATTCACCCTATCCAAAAAAATTTGGGAATAGACGCATCATGAAAAATGGAGTCAATATCGTAAAAGAAATGTACCACAACGATAAAATGGACTTAGGGGACATATGGTTTTAACAGGACAAAGCTACAGTCCATACTTCAAGAGCATCAATGGCTGTGTTGCGAGAGCACTTCCCAGAGCGCCTCATGTCACTGAGTGGCGATTTGCAGGGGCCAGCGCATTCGCCTGATTTGACCCCTTGTAAGCACCCAGACATGCAACGCAGGCGAGGGAACGTCGCCGTAGGGCCAACGAAAACAAATAAACACTCAAAGCCCTTGATAAATTGTGTTGATAGATATGTATAGAGATATATAGGCTTAGGGAAGTTTTTAAGACATCAGATTTAAACTAGCCAGCGAAGTGTACTCGTCAACTAAAATAAAGTCGTTGTAATAATATTGAATATTGCAGTTTTTCTTACAGCTGCAGCGGTGGGATCTGAATTTAACCCTCCTTAGTTATAGTGTGTGTGATTTTAATTAATCACAAAATAAACATGAGTAAATCCAGTGATATTGACAATCGCCGACAAAGAACAGATCGTTTACGCAATGAACGAGATAGTGAAGTGGCTGTTTTACCTCGTTCGCATACACCGGATCTGCAACCAAATACAAGTGATTCACAAGAAGACCGCATTAAGAGGTTAGAACAAGTGATTCAAGGACTCGTAGGTGTAATCCCAAGACGCAATCAAGAAAGTGTGTCGGGCATAAATACTATACCGGAATTTCGGCCAGGACAGCCTGGACTCACCTCCACCAAATGGCTACATAAAATAGAACAGCTTGCATCATTAAACAGCTGGGATGAGAAAACAGTTATTTACCATATGCAGACCAAATTAACTGGACTAGCTAGGTCATGGTTCAATAATCTCAACAACTATGATCTTTCTTGGGAAGATTGGAAAGAACTTATAGTGTCGACCTTTCCAGAACATCATGATTATGCCTCATCGTTAAGAAAAATGCTAGACAGAAAGAAATTACCCAATGAACCGTGGGAAAAATATTATTTTGAAAAAATGGAATTAATTTTTCATTGTAATATTCGGGGCAAAGAAGCTGTTTCCTGTGTTATAGATGGTATCCAGAATCAGACTATACAGACGGGTGCCAAGGCGGGCAGATATTTAACTCCAGAACATCTATATGCTGAATTTCTATCAACACTTACTGTGGATGAGAGTAGAGAATCTACAGTACATAATAAATATGAAAATCGACGACGACATGCACAACATAGACATCATTCATATAAGGGACACGAACAAAAACAATTCCGTTGTTTCAACTGTGGGGAAAATGGACACGCGTACCAAAAGTGCCCCAAACCAAAAAGGCAGTGCACAAATTGCAGTCGGCTGGGACATACTAAGGACACATGTAAGGTGACCACAAAAGTGCGATATACGAAAAGTATACCTACAAACAAAACATGTTATTGAAAAAGTGTATTTTAAATGGGAGTGAACTACAAGCATACGTGGATACCGGATGTGCAGTGGTGATAATACGTAAGAAGGAAGCAGACAAGTGCAGACTGACACTGATTCCTTGTGAACTGTACTTAAAAGGGTATAACGGTGCGCCAATTAAAGTACTTGGAAAATGTAACGTGCGTTTAGAAGTTGACTTAGTAGAAGATGAGGTGGAAGTGTATATTGTGGACGACGATATTCAAGAGTTTCCCGTTCTCATAGGACAGTCGTTCATAAACTCAAATGGAAAGGTGCTCGTCGTGAAGGAAAATGAAATCCGTCTATTCAAGGCAGAGGAGTGTCCATTGCCACAAGTCGAAGCATTGCCACCAACGAAAGTGAAACTTCTCTCCAAAAAGGATCTCTCAATTCCATCAAATCATATCGGGTACATTAAGGTTTACACTCCGGACCAGTATGAAGGTGATGTATTTGTAGACAGTAGTCTGCGGGAAAATCCAGGTAAGGAAATGATTATTACTAGATGCGTTACCTCTACTAAGGATGGAATTATTACAATTATAAATCTGTCCTTAAATTCTATTGATATAGGTAAAAATCAACTAATTGTAAGGGGATTGCCCTGTTATCCAGAAAACATAAATAAATCAGTACTGCCAAATGTAGGAATATTACAGAGTCAGGTGCTGAATATTTTCTCTATGTCCCAACTGAATAGTCAGGTAGATAAACAGGTTACCGATTTCGAAAAAAAAAAGGTTACTTGATCTAATAAATGAATATCGAGATTGTTTTGCTGAACAAACCAATGAGCTAGGAAAATGTTCACTTACTGAAATGTCAATAAAGCTTAGCGATGATAAACCAGTAGTTTATCGTCCATATCGTCTTTCAATTTCTGAGCGACAAATTGTTAAAAAAATTGTAAATGATTTATTGGAAAACAATATAATACAGGAATCAGAGTCGTCGTACGCCAGTCCAATCCTGTTAGTTAAAAAGAAAACTGGCGATTATAGGATGGTCGTAGATTATAGGGCGCTAAATGCAAAAACTGTTAGGGGCTGTTATCTAATGCCACGAGCAGATGATTATTTAGAACAATTAGAGGGGTGTAACTATTTTACTAGTTTAGATATGGCTAAAGGTTACCACCAAATAGCTATGCACGCCGATTATGCAGTATTTATAAAAACTTTAAACAAAGCTTTAGGTCATCTGAAAAAATACCTCTGTGTTAGTATATATGGACGACATTTCGATGTCTTCACAAACTATAACAGATGGATTAAATGTGCTAGAAGAAATTCTAAAAATTTTGAGAAATGTTGGACTAACATTGAAACTGTCTAAATGTAATTTTTTTTGTCTAATATCACTTATTTAGGTCATGAAATTAGTAAAAATGGTGTTAGACCAGGTATAAACAAAATTCACGCTGTGCAAAATTTTCCTGTGCCAGCTAAGGTTCACAATGTACGACAATTTTTAGGACTTACTTCATATCTTAGAAAATATATAAAAGACTATAGCGCAACCATTAACTGCATTAACTAAAAAAAAAATGTCATATTTAATTGGGGTGTAGGACAAAACAAAGCTTTTCAGATTTTGAAAGAGAAACTAATAATGAGACCATTATTAGCTATATGTAACCCTAAGGAGCCAACAGAAGTGCACACAGACGCTCCGAAAATTGGACTTGGCGGTATTTTACTTCAAAGACAGGAAAATGACACTTTAAAACCGGTACTTTATTTTAATCGTCAAACTACAAAAGAGAAAAAAACCATATTCATCATACGAGTTAGAAACATTAGCAGTAGTAAACACATTAAAACAATTTAAAGTTTATTTGATAGGCATTAAATTTAAGGTAGTAACCGATTGTAATGCGCTACGTACTACACTGATAAAACGAGATTTAATTCCTCGAATTGCTAGATGGTGGCTGACGACTACTGAATTCGATTTTGATATTGAATACCGGAAGGGCGCAAAAATGGCACATGTAGACGCTCTAAGTAGAAATTCATAGCGAATATAAAATAAATGATCACAAGGTATACAAAAAGACGGTTTCGGGGGATCGCTGGATAATACCAAAGTCTGCACGACGTCAGGTTGTTATTATACTTATTTAAAACACCTATTTGATAGTGTTTGTAGACAGTTTTACAAAATTTGTTTTCCTTAAAGCCGTACAAAGTACTAAAGTACAACCATTAATTAAATTTATAGATTCTATCATAGACACATTTGGGTTGCCTCGTAGAATTATATGTGATCGGGGGAAGTTGTTATACAAGTAACCCTTTCGTTAAATATTATCAAAAATTATGTATAAAACTAATTCACGTAGCTACTTCAACACCACGTGCAAACGGACAAGTTGAGAGATATAATAGAATTGTTTTATCTAGTCTTAGAACAATGGTTAGTGATGAAAGTAAATGGGATGAAGTAATTCATAAGATTCGGTGGGGACTAAATTGTACAATAAGTAAAACCACTGGCAAAAGCCCCTTCGAATTATTTTTCGGGTTCAAACCTCGTGGTGTTGATGATTCATTTTTGCGTGCAAATACTGAGATTATCAGCGATATAGACGAAAATCAGGCACAAATAAGTAATGAACAAGCTCGTGAAGCGGCAGGTAAATTAATTGAAAAACGACAGTTCGAACAAAAGCAGTATTATGATAAGAAAAGGGTGGCACCTCATAAATTTAGAGAAGGTGATAAAGTACTAGTTAGAAAAACGAGATGCTCCAATGATGGAAAAAGTAGAAAATTATTACCTAAATACAGCGGGCCCTACATAAAAAAAAAAGGTTTTAGATCAAGATCGTTATGTGATAAAAGATTTACCGGGCGCTGAACATTCACAAAAATCTTATGAAAGTGTTTGTGCACAAGACAAGTTAAAGCTGTATAATATAAATTATGATAGTGATGTAAATACTGAAAAGGCGAGCAGTGACTCGGAATAAGAGTTTACGCCTTGTGTGTTCATATTTCTTAAGTGTTTTGTATGTTGGATGTGAATGTTTAGTATATGAGATGAGCGTGACCCATCTATGAATGCTTGGTAGGTACCTACACTGTGTTGAGTGATATGAATGAAAACGTCACCTGTACGATTGCACGTATGAGCTTGTATGAAAGAATGTAGATATATTGAAATATGATTATTCCTAGATGCGGAATATAATTGAGTGATTATCCCTAGATGCGGGATATAATTTTAAATATGATTATTCCTAGATGCGGGATATAATTTTAAATGATTATTTTTAGATGCGGAATATAATTTGAGTGATTATCCCTAGATGCGGGATATATATTTAAATATGATTTTTCCTAGATGCGGAATATAATTGAGTGATTATCCCTAGATGCGGGATATAATTTTAAATATGATTTTTCCTAGATGCGGAATATAAATTATCCCTAGATGCGGGATATTGATTAAGATGATCCCTAGATGCGGGATCCTGATTAAAATTATCCCTAGATGCGGGATACGATTTGAAATAATCGTTTTATCCTTAGATGCGGGATAAAATGATTAAACATTTATCGGTTATTATAAGTTTACTAACGTATATTATTTTCTTTTTTTGAATAGGTTGCCTGCCCCAAGATTCCGCGAGGACGCGGAAATTGTAGCGTGGTCGACTGTAAGCACCCAGACATGCAACGCAGGCGAGGGAACGTCGCCGTAGGGCCAACGAAAACAAATAAACACTCAAAGCCCTTGATAAATTGTGTTGATAGATATGTATAGAGATATATAGGCTTAGGGAAGTTTTTAAGACATCAGATTTAAACTAGCCAGCGAAGTGTACTCGTCAACTAAAATAAAGTCGTTGTAATAATATTGAATATTGCAGTTTTTCTTACACCTTGTGACTTCTTTTTGTGGAGGTTGAAATTCCATGTCTATACCAACAGCCCACAGAAGAAACGGCCAACATACCCATCAATATGCTGGAGAAATTGATAAGAATCAGCAGAATTTGGTTCAGGTATTGTATCGACAATAGGGGGCGTTACTTACCCGATAGGGTTTTTAAAACGATATAAACCACAACTTTAAATGTTTAATTTTTTAATAAAAAAAAATGAAAATATATCTTTACTACTTTTTGTTTTATTGCATTATGAAATAAGGAAATTATCTTGCCGCACCCTGTAGTTTCTGAGTAAAAAATTATTGAAGTTGTGGTATTTACACCCCTTACATCGTTGAGCTCTCTCTCCATGTGGCCCTAGGTGATAACGAATACTGAAATTCAATTTTAGTATTAACGTTTTTGTTATAGTGTTTACGTTAGTTTTTCAAGTGTCAAAAATGGCTTATGTGTATAGCAACCCGAAGTTGATGGATATCGTTTTAATTTATGGTGAACAAGACAACATTTGTGTTAGTTCGTAGAAACTGGGTAAGGAAGGCCCAAATGTGTTTATACGTTGATGGACAAAATCTTGAACAGTTGTTGTAACATCGGGTAAGTATGTGAAATTATTTTATTAATTAAAACCACAAATTAATTTTATTAATTAACAGTGTCTGCCACCTTTTCAGATATGTATGACCTGTATTTCTTTATTTTTACAGAAATCATTATGTGAGTCACGTAAAAAAATTATAATACATTTGAACTACTACTCTCAGTAGGTGGTCACTAAAAATCTTTTTTTTTTTTCATTCATGCTATACAAAACGTGCACTGGGATGAGATATAAGTGTGTGCAAAATTCCCACTAAATAACTTAAAAATAACAGAACTGTTAATAACTTTTTTTTAATTCTGACTGAGACTGCGTCAAAAAAAGGTGGCAAAAAGAAAAATAGCAAAGTTCTATTATCTTCACCCAAAGAATCTATGGCTAGTTCTAAAATTGCTTGCAAATCAATTCCTGAACATTTCTGTAAATTGTTTACAAAAGAAATAGCTGTTAAAATACTTACTGCCATGTAAGGTCGACACCCAGCGTCCTTAGTTCTAGCAATGGAGTCTACGAGCTGGCCAGAAATACCAAAATCACAGAGTTTAATATTACCTCCCTTATCTAATAAAATATTGCTTGGTTTAACGTCTCTGTGGATTATTTTCAGTTCTTCTTTAAGATAATTTAAGGCATTAACCGTAGCTAAAGCTATTTTCCCTAGGATAGGTTCGGGGATCCTCTTCTTCAACTTCTCGTATATGAATTTGTAAAATTTATCTAGCGAGGTATCCATTAGTTCCATACATATCCAGCAGTCGCCCTGAATTAGAAAAAATAGCTGAAATTACGGGTTACCTGCCTGTTTTTAAGAAAACTTAAGATACATAAAATAATAGTAGCTATAATATATCACTCGTAAGTCAACTTCAGCTGCTACCAAAAAAAAGTAGAGCGTATTGCTAATTTGTGCCGCCAATTCCAATTTTGTAGATTGCTTTCAAAAACAAATAAAAAATTGTGACTGCCCTTTATATTTCAGGAATGGACAAACCAACATCCCTATCGTAAAGTTCGATTTTTTTGTCAGTATATTTACTAAGAACATTTTTACGTATAGGCACTATTTGTGTTGTCTACAGCGACTTGAAAATTTAATCTCAGCCAAAAAGTTTAAGTTGTTATATTCCGTGCGATTATTTTTTTACAACTTTTGACATGGATCATCTCAACAACAGTGCGTCGACTCGACTTTTGGTAATGAAGCACCATCAAAAACCATTGTATATCGGTGGTGTATGGAATTCAATCATGGCCATAGCTCACTGATGAATTTCACGAAGGTCATCCAAAATCCGTTGTCGTTCCAGAAAACATTGTTGCTGTGCGTGAACTGATTGTGTAAGATTGTCATGTGACTTACCGTATTACCGTACGGTATTGGTGGAACAAGCATACATTCAATATTGCGTGAACATTTGGCCATCAAAAAAATTTGTTTGCGTTGAATCCCAGACAAGTTGATAAACCGTTCAAAAAAGGCTCGTCTCAATTGGTCGAAAGAAATGCTCAAGAAATACGATTGTGGTGCTACAAAACACGTCTATGACACCAGAACAGGTGACGAATCATGGATCTATGTATATGAGCCCAAAAATAAACAGGAGTCGACTGTATGGGTCTATATGGATGAACCAAATCCAACAAAACTTGTCCCACATGAAACACTTCTAAGCAAATGGTTGCCTGTTTATTCCGAAAAACCGGACATGTGGTAACTATACCAATAGTGCAACGTCCAACAATCAATTCTGAATTGTACACAACCACTTTTTGCCAGAACTCTTCGGAAAAATAAGGAAAACCAACCGCCAAAGACGCATCATTCTTCACCAAGACAATGCAAGCTTTCAACTCAAATAAAAGACTTTTTGAGAACTGAAAAAACCAAATTGAAGAGTCATCCACCATACAGCCTTGATTTGGCACCCAATGACTTTTATTCCTGCACATCAAAAATAAAATAATGAGGTCAACGTTTTTCGACGCTTGAAGAAACGGTTGATGCATTCAAAATGCATGTTTTGGAGGTACCTCAACCGGAATGGAAAGTGTTTCAAAAATTGGTTAAAAGCTTAAAGCCATAAACGATGATTAGTTTATTTCATTTTTATTACCGAAATATAAAAGACAACCCTCCTAGCATATTACACAGGCAGGCCATCAAATTGTTCCGAAACTATGAATAATAGCGAAGCGATTCTTCTTGCACTATAATTTGTTGTTCTTCAGGTAGTATCGGATGCTATACCGGTATTTTCAAAAACGAAAACAAACAAAAAAGAAAAAACAGTATTAATTTTTAAAGTAGTCCAAAAACGACACTTCAAACAGTCGCTAATTAAATTAAAAGGAATTCAAGAAATATCATTTTTTATATTATAGTCCACGGGCGCAGGTACAAAGAAAAAAATGATTACCAGCAAGCTGTAACTTTGCGTGCGGCTTAAGTTTGACGAGTCTCCCAAGATTTGACTATGGGGAAAATTCAACAGTAGTAAGTTTTTCCGTGATTTTCAGGAAAACATGTCAATCTGGCAAAACCATGAAATGTTATATCCAGCACTATTTTTTAAGTTTAAATGAAAGATATATTTTTTTAAACCCCCCAAAAAATTTGTCCGACAAAAATGTTGATATTTTGAGTTTGTCCGCCACCCCAAATATTATGTCGATTTGGTGACATTATGGTTGGTGACAACCAGCAAACTGATTTTTCTGGGAGGGTTTGGTAATAAGATTTGAAATGAAAGTATCTTATTGTCCAACAAAATTCTTGAGAAGTTTTTGCAGTCCGACACCCCAAAGATGTCGACTTAACGACAACATGGTTGGTGATAACCAGCAATCTGGTTTTTATTTTTTCCTCTAATAATTGAAATGTATAACACAATAATACTTGTCTGACAAAAAGATTTGAAAATTTGCCTTAAAAATGGGAAAAATAACTATTTTTTTACCTAATGTTCATTCCGCTATAAAAATAATTAATTTTTTAATGAAAAAAATAAGAGAATAATGAATGAATAATGGGAGACTCGTCAAACTTAAGCTGCACGCAAAGTTACAGCTTGCTGGTAATCATTTTTTTCTTTGTACATGGGCCCGTGGACTATTAGTAATATTCATTTAAAACAGTAACACAACAAGAAATCAACAAAATTCAGGTTAGTTTTTTCTTACTTAGAATTTGTGACCACTTGGACTACTATCCTTAAAGTGACAATATACACAATCATTAATCAAATTCAAACAATTTTTGTTCATATCTGATTAAAGTGGATTTGGAATTGTAATACAGATCATCCTTTTGTGTAATGCTAGGAATTTGTCGTCATACGTTTTTGCCAAAACTTACAAATATGAAACCAACACGGTACTTTTTCCAGTTTAATGCCATATTATAAACGCAAATTATCCCTCTTCAATCATTACAGAATTTGTTGCCTTTAAAAAAGATTTTTTTCATTAATAACCATATAGAGGCCGATAATACCCAAAGGCTGTTACCATTCTCAGATCAATTCGATAGCCTGACTACGTAATATTACGTTAGCAGCCTTAATTTTTCTCAAAAATGGGACAAGATACAAAATTGGAATTGCCACAAATTAGCGACAAACGATGTTCCACCAATTTTTGATGGCTGTTGCAGATGGCTTGCCAGGGTAATACACGTTAGTTGTGGTATAAAACTCTATACTGCACCTCTTTAAAAAGGGCTCCATAGAATTGCACGATATATTTACTCTCGTTACTCTTCATAATCACATCCAAATCCATTAGTAACTGTTTCTGTTCCTTCTCATCAACTGTCGATCTTATTCTCTTTACTGCTACTACAGTACCGGATTTCCGATGGACCATTTTGTTAACTGTACCGAATCCTCCCCTACCAATTTCACCTAAATCTTGTAAATCATCCGAAGTAAAGTCGTAACTGGCACCGTTTATTTGAAGTTTCCCTACAGAATTCATAGAAGGGCAAGTTTTGAACTTGTTCTCCCTGAAAATTTCCAACAGCTAATAAATACATAAGGTGAAGTTAAAACTGTGGTGTTAAGTTTAAAAAACACAGTTACTGAAAGCCCGAAATTCACATCTATGACTAACATTGTAATGTAAAAAATCGCCAAAAAGTAGATTTTAATTGTGGTACTACTTTCTTTGGACTATCAATTACCAACACAATTTTTTTGTAGCCGTTAGATAATCCCTTTCATTTTATTTATATCATTAATTTTTCTGCTTGCAATTTATTAAAAGCACAAATTCTATTTTAGGAGCAAAATCCATTACTTGGCGAGACGATTTAGTTTAGTTTAGTCGTTTACTAAACTAATTGAGAACTGATACTTTTATGAATACTAAAAACACTTTAATTCCTTGTATGCTTACCAGATATTTTATATGTACTGAATCGTTATTTTAGTAATACTATAACAAATTAATCATTAAAACCTGATGGTTTATCTTTATTATTAAAATCAATGAAGTGATTACATAGTAGAGGAAGTGACAAAAACAGAAATAACTATTGTGAGGAGACTTGATAAAAAATCTTTGTCAAATTTTAATTGATTTAACATGCAATGGACATCACATAAAAGTAAAAACAAGACAAAAAAAAATCTTTCTGATTTACCTTATTTTGGTTCGTTCAACGGGTTGAGAACTGTGAATATTAAAAAAATGATGTGTTTTAAAATAAATAATGAAATATGCATTAGACTGTAAAATAGAAATGCTTACCGAGAAAACAATGATGGTTCCTTATTTTTAGTTACTGTGGGAAGAGTCATTTTAGGTCTGTTGGAAGCTGCCGCAACTCCAATTTTCTCCATCGGTTGACTAGGCAGTGGACGAAAAACAAAAGGAGCTGGAGTACTCCCTTGAGAAAAGTCTATTCTCATTAAATCGGGCCTACGAACTAGAAAACACTTTTATGCATGTAATGTTTATTTAGATCCTGAATAAAATGAGATAAGCATAAGTTGTAAACAATTCCTTTTCGGTTGGATCAAATATTTTGGAAAACTTAAGATATTAACGCAAATTATGTGATGGCTTGGGATAAATAAACAATAATTGTAATAAAAAACAAACCTTGATTAGATTGACTGCCTATTTGATCTGCCATTTTGCCGAAATTTTGGCAAGAATCGCGCACTTCTATTTTTAGGATATATTAAAATTTTAGCACTAAATAAACTGTTGGGAAGTAAACATAACAATCCTATTTTAGTATCACAAATTGCTAAAATCAATAAACATTTTCACTCGATGTTATTTTGTTATTTTTCCAATAATAATGCTAAAATCACTAGTAGCAGCAGCAAGTACACCCATAGAAAATTAAAAGTACATATATGTATCTATGGTAATCTATGGTTATTTGGGACTGTAGAGTGGTCGCTGCTGTAAGTTTTTTTTCCAAATAGAATACACTTAAACTCCGCCCCTTGAACACGGCAACGATTTCTCAAGAGCTGACCATTGGCCTCAATGATTTGGGATCGAGGGGGATTATCCCTCTTTATCCTGCCTCATCTCGTGTAGGCCTGGACAGCCTTCGTAGGTGGGCCCCATCCGTCGTCTACCCCGACCGCAAATGCGGCCGGTGTAGACGCTTTGTGGGACCTCCTTTTGTCCTGGCTGGGCCCCGCCGGCTAGGGCCCTTTCTTCTGGCGCTCTTCTTGCTTCGCCGGCTCGTCTGTGTAAACCCCGGGGGTAGTGTCATGTTTATGTGTGGTATGGTTGGGTAGGGTAGTGCGACTATGCAGCCTGGGATGCGCTTTGCTAAGGTGGCCCTTAGGCTAGCGCGGGAGGGGAGGGTTAAGGAGGGTATGGGGGGTGTGTATGTGGGTGTGTGTGTGTGTCGTTGTCTTCGTTTCTTGATCCTGGCTGTCTCTGAAACAGAAAAGGTTAGCGGGAAGGGGGGGGGGTCATTGGGGTGGTCACCCAGGGTCAAAAAGTTGGTGTCTAGGTCTTTTGTGTTTGTCGGTCACGTCGGGTACGTAGTCAACGGCTTGCCTGAGGAGGGGATTGTCATGTCTAGCGGCTACGTCAAATCGTTTCTCCGCGTTTTGTCTTATTGTCTGTGTAGCGTTTGTGCAAATGAATCTGTAAACACGAACGGCAATGTCAAAATTACCTTGTCTCGGAGCTTACCGCTTTTGCCGCTTGATGCGCTTGCATCTTAAAAATTATCACGGATAGTGCGGCAACTCGTCAAAAGAGGTGCTGCCGTAACGTGAATAGGCGGAAGGTACAGCATTGACGATCTATAAAAAATCCGTTTATTTATAATCTGTGAATGATGATTGTCAATTGTCATAGTAGTGAAGCTGAAGAAGAAAGAAGTCTGAAGTGATAGTGAAGTGATAACTAGCTGTGTTTATTTTTGATAAAACTAAAAAATTTATGATTGAAATATTATTTGTACTTAACTAGTGTAGTATTTCTACGAGTATAACACAAAATAAAGAATTTGGGTATTGCAGAAAAATATTTTCATCACACTTCACAAATATAATAAACATGCCAAAAGTGCGAAGAAGTAAAAAGTCTCCTCCAGAAGGATGGGAGCTTATTGAACCAACTTTGGATGAACTTGAACAAAAAATGAGAGAAGGTGAACATTAGTATTATTTTCAAATTTTTTTTATGTATCTATATAATATCATTTGCAGCTGAAACAGAATCTCATGAAGGGAAGAGAAAAAATGAGTCTTTATGGCCAATTTTTAAGATTCACCATCAAAAATCGAGATATATCTTTGACTTATTCTATAGAAGAAAAGCCATAAGTAGGGAATTGTATGATTACTGCTTGATGGAAAATATAGCTGATAAAAATTTGATAGCAAAATGGAAGAAACAGGGATATGAAAGTTTATGCTGCCTACGATGCATACAGACAAGGGATACTAATTTTGGAACAAATTGTATTTGCCGTGTACCTAAGGCAAAGCTAGAGGAAGTAAGTTCCGCATATACTGTTTATTTAAATTTCATTTCCATCAAAAGTGGTTATAAATGGTTTTCAATTTTCAATGGTTTCAATTCAAGTATTTTTTTTATTATTACATATTTTTTATTTTTCAGGGTCGAATTGTTGAGTGTGTCCATTGTGGCTGTAGAGGATGTTCCGGATAGATATTTGTTATAAAAATGAATTTATAAATATATGTATATCTATTCACTATAATGTAATTTGTATAGGCTAGTATCGATTATTTATAATTAATTTGTTAAACTTTATTTATTGTATTAAATTTTATTTCTGTGAAAAATCATAAAATACAATAAAGTTCTTTTGTACGTGCCTTTGTATTTTCCTGGTTTTATGCCTGTATACTTAAAATAAAAAAGAAATATTCTGCTTACTCTTCTCTCTGTGTATACAGTGTGTATCAGCCAAATGGAATAAATTCAATAAATAAATGTGTTCGAAAAAATACTAGGGCAGGTCAATTGGTATTTTTGGTTTTCGGATCACGGATTTCTTGAAAAGAAATCGGTGATCCTCCCTCATCTCGTGTAGGCCTCCATTGGTTTATGGATCATTTTCGTCATTTGGCTTTGGCAACATGTTTTATTATGGCAACAACAAAATATATAATTGGCAACACTGTATTGTATAACCTCATTTTGTTTAATATCACATTTTAAATTTTGTGACCGTTATTTTATCTGTTTCTCTTTTAATAAAAAATAAAAATAGCCATGTCGAATTTTATGACAGGTAATATTCTTATCAAATATGGAATAATATTGTATAATCATTTCGTATTTTCTATTTTATGTAGATGATGAAGATTCTCCCCAAGAGGAATCGGACGTGATTGAAGAAAGTATTGCAGAGAGCTGTGAGATTCTAATTATTGCATTAAAAATAATATCAATCATTCATTTAACTTTCAAAATGCTAATGTCAATTTGTATTTTCAGTTACCTTTTTAAAGTAGAGTAAAGCACTTCGTTAATATAGTTTTATGGCATTCCAAATAATTATAAATTTTAAATATTTTTTTTAGCTTGTCTGGAATCAGAAAATGGTTCTAACATGTCAAATTTGACAGGAGCGATAAAAAAAAATGTTAGAAGAAGTAGTGCTAGTAATAAAGTAAGGAGTAGTATAATGTCCGATAGTGATTCTTCTCCAGAACATAACGTACACACCTACACTAATAAACACAAAAGTTCGAAACATAGAACACCATCTTTCAGAAATAAATCAACTGACTCGCCATCATCCTCAACAAGCACAGAAGTTTTGAGAGATAGTCATTTTCAAGATAAACTAAATGTGAACAGTACCAGTCATAGGAAAAGTTTTATGAAAACTAGATCTCCAGAATTAAGTTCTGATGATAGTGATGATAATATAAGATTTCAAAGGAAAACTAAAAAAAAAATAATTTCCGACTCTGAATCTGAAGAGGAAATTGTAAACATTTCAAATGGGTTTAATAAAGAAGAGCAAGTTTCAGGCTCTATAGAAGTTGTTGATACTGATCCAGAAATTGAAAATATTACAAAATCTTTTAACGCCTCTATAATTTCAAGCGAGATTAATTTTGGAAAGAAAGGAAATATCATAAATAGCACTTTAGTTGATACAGGTAAGTCGTATTTATACCTTACAGTATTAGAAACAAAAGGGAATTAAATCTATGATACTTCTTTGCAACATCCTGTATTTTAGAAAGCCAGAATACTCCAAAAGCAGGCTCTAAAAGGTTATTCAACAAATCGGTTGACACTCCCAGGATTTTAAAACATTTGAAAGAGTCCACAACTCCCATCAGTGTCACTCCATCAAAAGTTATCCAAAAGCAAGGAAATGACTCCATGCTAACACCTAGAAACGTTAGAGCAATTATACCGTCTCGTTCGCCAAGTCCGTCAAACAGCTTGGAAATTGTGAGTGAAGGTGAAGCTGACATAATCGACATTAGCAGCGGAGATGTATCTCCTCCTCCTCCACCCGCTCGTCGAATTGATCCAAAGAAGAAAATTGTAAAACAGACTACTTTAGACACACTCATTACTAATAAAAATATGAATAGTCCCACAGTGGTTATGAAACAAGACAAGCCCATCAATGCCATAGAGGTAATAAGTTCCTCAAAACTAGAGCCCGGATAGAGGTACACGACTTTAGAATCGATATATAGGTAGCAGACAATTGGTTCGGTACAAATTAACTCGGTCAAAGTACCTACATTGTGTGGTACTTTCGATAAATAATGACACTTAGATATACTTTTATTAGTGCAATAACTTATTGGCAGTAACTATTTTGTCAGTATCGTGTATTGTAAGTATAACAAATATCCCAAGAAATAAGTATTCTATGAAAATAATGTCAATCATTTATTTAATTAGGCCACAATTGAGCCCTTTTTGCCTACGCCATCGTCCCAACATTGATCCTCTGTCTGTCTCTAACTCTCCTTGAACCTACCTGATGTCCTAACGAATGGCAGGATGTTCATCCATGGCAGGTCCCTCACCTCATTCATTTGCAAATCTTCGCTACCAAAGACTTTATGCCGAATCTCCCGAAGGTTGCGCTCTGTCCCAAAGGTTGGATAGGGGTATACTCCTCAAATCCTATCTTACATAAGTCCTACCCTTAAGTAGATAAAAATCCTCTACATAGTTAAGCAGAGAACGCATTCGGTGGTTGCGGTCCTGTCATATCGCGGTCTGTTCTGGGTTGAGCTAATCGCGGTCTTTTATAAAATCAGTCGCAGTTGGAAATCGTACACAATCCTGCTTGCGCCCTTCTTTAAATAGTTGAGGTATTGTTTTAATACTTAAAAAAATGAGTTATAGAGAAAGCTCGTCTCGATCACATCGCAGTCTCCTGAGATTCTTTGTAAAAGATCGGTGGAGAATGCAATGCGAGCGCAAAGAGCTCGGGAACGTCTAGTGTGAATGCATACATTAGAAAACATGGGGAGGAACTCCACCGCACGTGATCGAGACTAGCACGGACCGCGATGCGACGGTACCAGGACCGCCTAATGCATTCTCTGCTTTACTCCTCATTACTTGCCACCATTAAAATGGTGAAAACCTTTGCCTGAAAGACCGGTATACAACCCTTTCACTTTTGTGGAAATTATTTCTCTATTGAAAATTATCTGCTTACACACAACGCAAGTCGTATGCACTGATGTTTGGGCTCTATTAATAGCTATATCTTTTGTTTAATGTATTCTTTATAGGTGTGCCCAAGAGAAATGTCTGAGCAAAAAACGAAGATTAATAAAATAGAGCAAGACCTGCTTAAAGCCAAAAATTTGCTAAACACTGTAAATTTAGACAGTCTCCCAGATAAAGGTAAACTGATAAGAGACAGGCATATGGCAATCGAACAGATGCTGAAACAGGAAATTGAAAAATTGTCTATTATGGTGGTGACAAAAGGTGATCTATTATTTTATCCGTAATCCATTTAGTAAACTAATTATATTATTTTGTAGATGATACAGAAGTGAAAACGCCAGGAATTTCAAAGAAAGCAGAACCGACCTGGGACGAAATCCAAATGAATGCAAATGCCGTGATGCCAAAGACTTTTGGAAAGATGGCGATGTCAACCTATAATGCTCAGAAGGCTGTTACAATGGACAGGCTGCAGCAATTGCACGGTTCTCTTGAGAGCTGTCCAAAAGAAAACGACCTAGCCGAAGATCCTAAAGGATTGAAAGTCGATCTTATGCCACATCAAAAGAGAGCATTGGCGTGGCTGATGTGGAGGGAAAAACAGAAGCCTTCAGGGGGCATTTTAGGTAACCCGTACTTTGTTCTGTCTCCATTGCTTTTTTCAGATAGTCACTAGTGCCATTTTAAAATTATTTTTGTGTATCTTCATTGAAAAAATTCAAGAAATACTTACTATAATTTCAAAATATTTTATATCACTAGAATTACAATTTGGACAAAAATGGAAATAAAACAATCCAATAATCACATTTTTTTACATTTTGCTGTGTTTAGTGCTTTTTTCCACTTTAAGTGGACAGTTTAATATCAAATTGTTTTTTCCCTTCCATATATTGATTTTTTGATATACAGGATGAGCCAATTTTGGGGGATTTGGGGGTTTCTTGTGTTCTGCCGGATGATGGACAAAAACTAATTAAGATGGATGTGTCTAGCACTATTTTTTTTTTTTTTTTGAGAACAGTTGATTGGTAAAATTCACATCCATCTGTTTTATTTAAATGATACAGACAGTTTACTAATTGTCACATTTTTCTCAAAATGATTTGACCGCTCCATTTCTGTCACCGGAGGCTCAATATTAATGTCTCTTGATAATACATCAAATCCTGTAGTAGCCAGTAATGTTGCTGATGTTCTTCGTAATGAATGGTCTGTATATGTTTCAGGATGTTCTAGTTTCAAAAACTGCAATCTTATTAGAAATCGTAGAAAGAGTATTCTTGCCGACTGGTTGGTTGTAACATCTACCTGCTTGATAACGCATAAAAAAGCGTGATTTCAATTATAATTTCCAATCTAATCTTGATATATTTCCAAGAATTTCTAGGTGAGAAACAGAATCCAGACGAGAAGTAATTGTAAACGTACGTGACATCGAAATTTTTGAAATTGACGTCCAAAGTAAGTTTGCGTAACTCATCAGAACGGCATGCTCCTGCAATGCCTAAGACCGTCACTACTTTCATTAGCAAATATGTGTTATCGGATGCCTGAACGAGAAAATCGTTGACTTGTTCTCTTGTAAAAACGTTTGTCTTTTTAGAGGTGTAGGCGTCATTCTTACGTTTCAAAAATGCTCTCAGATTGGGGTATTTTGATGTATCCACATTCTCTTCTATGAAAATGGTTGACTTAATCATTGAGTAATCATTCCACAAACTCGCCGATGACTTTAAAGTTCTCGACTTCTTCATGAAATATGCTAGCAGTAACATTTCAGAAACACCAGTATTTTTGTTCTGGCACCATTCTTTGAAATTTCTGAATACTCGTCCGTAGCACACTTTTGAATTCTCGGGCAATAAAAATTCGCAGGCAGCATTTGCTGCACTTTCTATTAGGTAATCCAAACCACGTGACAAAATTGGAATTCAATATGGTGTGGAGGGCAAACATTTGTTTGATTCATATATACTTATGTGTGTTTTTTCTAGAGTTTGCGTTTTTCTGTTGGCTTGGCTTTGTTTTTTTGAACTTTGACTGTATAATGAGTGTTTCGTGGATTGTAGTTGTCTTTGTTATTACCAATCAATATGCAGAGTGATTATTTAAAGAAGCTAATATAAGGATTTATTTTTTTATTTAATTTACCAATACTTTCAGTAAACTCATTTATAAACAAAAAAAAAATCTAATAATATTAACTTATAGAACACCTTGTATATTTACGTATAAAAAAAATATTACATTTAAACGTTGGGCGCCACGTTGGGCGCCACGTTTGTGACGCTGCTAATGGGTGGCAATACAAAACAAGATTAAATATAAAAAAAAATATATCTCTGCCGTGGGTTTTCAGGCTCTTTTCAGCGAAAGGGTTGGCCCTAGCTCAGTGAAGAAGGGAGTGGGTTGAGACGTATACTAACTTATAAGGCGCCACCCGTTTTACAACCCGATGGACAATATACAAGAGGGCTGAAAAGAGGTGCTGGCTTCTTTTTACCTTACCAGTGCAAATAACAACAAAAAAACGGGAAAAAGGTACTAAGTGATACACACAAATCACGGAACTAGATAATATTTACTAACGCCAAAACTAGATATGCGGTGTACAGTAATTCAAAGTATCATACGCCCATATACAGAACGAAATATAAATATGTAATACAATTGGTTATTATTTTAACTAAACCCTTTCTATAGTACTATAGGTCGGTGTACACCATGGATTTGGCAAATTAAGTATATTGTATAATTAATTAGATGGTGTTAAAATGGCGTTAAAATTATTAAAAGATTATTTACTGTATTAAAGCAGAAAACTTATCGAATATTATCGAAAATTAACCGAAAGTGTCGTTATTAATACAAATTTATATAAAATATGAATATACAAGGTGTAAGACGGCAAATTACAACTTAAACTAAACTTATCTGGTTGTTATGGAGCAGAAAACTTCAGATCGGCTCGAAAACGGCAAGGCCCTTAGACTATTGACGTCCTCAGTAAGAATTCCTCTCGATAGCAAAAATGGAATTTCTGGTGTGGTGTCATTCGTCAGCAATACACACTGTACAGTATGGATGCACCAGAGGATGATACACGAGGCACAGGTGGCCCTAGAGATCAATCACGTGTTGTCTGATCTCGTAACACGTAAAGATGCAAATATGGAACTCATCCAGTCCGGTGACAGACAGGATTATCCAGCATGCAGAGAGAAACAGCGAGCTACAGCGATCGTGATAGCGACAGAGAGGCCTAAATTGAAATAATGCGTATAAATATGTATTGCATTATGGGCTAAATCATATTGTTAATAACAAAGATACTGTTATTACCTTTGTTCTTGAGCGGCCTCGTAGTAAAGGTTAAAACCCCTTGGTTTTCCTTAATTTGGGACTAATCCAACACAAAGTTGATATAATCACAACCAGCACAAATGCCAGAACAACTATTCCCAAATTATTAACAATTAAATCCGCAATAGCGTTAATTTATGGTTTCACACCTACTTAAAATTTTGTCAGGAAAACGGAATTAATGCTTACTTCGCTGAGCGACAAGTAAAGAAATCCCCGCGCAAAAAGTGACCTATCGCCGATAAAAAGAGCGAAGGAAGAAATGTATCGAAAAATAGATTTCAATTATACAGGGCCGCGTTTTTAGTACGAACCTTCCTGAATTAAATAGTCGGTAAAGTCAGTTTATTACTTATTAAAATTATACTACGTTACTACAATATACACATTATTTACGAATACAAAATAAACCGTAACAGGATATTAATTAATGTAATGTTGGCATTATAATGAAAAATACATAAATTAAGGAATTGGAATGTATTGATATCATTGTAAAAATTCTTGATAATACCTAACAAATTTTTCTTGATTTTTAAAAAGTAAAATTCCATTCTATTTTCGCTTGTATTTTCTAGTAATTTTCTTCTTTTATATCATGTTTGGCGCCGTTTTCTCAATAAATCATTTAAATGAGGAAAATATTTAGAATTCACTACGTCAGGTAAACAATGAAAGCTAACTTGGTCTCGATTTTCACGACTTCCACAACCCATTAATATGCATGTTATCGGCATTAGTAATACATATCGTTGCGACAATTCAATAAAAGACAAGTTGAACACTTCCTTAAATAAAATACATGAATAATTCCTTACAAAAAACTCGGATTAAATGCTTTTAACTAAAAACTTCTGGACTAACTTCAATGCATTCTCAATATAAACATAACTTGTTTGCCATCAGCGCCATATTGCTTAAAAATTTGACAGGTCGTTGGATTGCCTAATTTGAAAATCACTCATTTTTTTAATTCAGCTCTTTTTGCAGTAACGTATGCAATATAAATTCTGTTTTTTAAGTTATAACACAAAATAATACTTATTTTTCTAAATGGAACACCCCATGTATTTTTTAAATTTGTTTTAAATTATAGAAAAAGAGTTATAGGTTATAGATATCCAAAAATGATTGTTATGTAGTTCTGCTTCAGTGTGCTATCCTTTTTTTTAATTTTAATTTTGATTAGAGTACTCAGAAATATGATTTCATTTGAAGATGTGCATAGAGCATATACAGGGTGCGTTCAAATGATAGATCTATGGCTAAAAAGAACACGTTTTTTGCATAAAATTTATCGTGTTTACCCCTTAAGAGATACAGCCTCTCAAAGTTTGAAAAAATTTGGAATATCAACAATTTTTCGAAAATTTCTGCCCCTTGGAGGAGGTTGAAATAAGCATCCCCTAAGTTACTTTTTGCTACAAGTACTATTGCCCTTAAAAAACGTCGTGCATTTCAAGTTACTACATCAAAACTATGTAAAAAAAATTAAAAAATTTTTACATCAAAAATCGTTCAATATCAATTAAAAATGCTTAAACGAAATAAGATATCGAGGTGTAATTTTCTGGACCTAACATTTATCTTCATGGGGTATACAAAAGTGTTGAAACATGCTGGGTGACCTGTACAACGATGGTATATTTATTTTCAGCTGATGATATGGGTTTGGGGAAGACCTTAACAATGATTTCCTTAATGATAAAAAGCTTAGAAGTGGAAGATGATGAATCTGATGAGGAAAATCAGCCGACCAAATATAAAGGGGGTATGCTGGTGGTCTGTCCTGCCAGTTTGTTGAACCAGTGGTCCGGGGAGTTGGAGAGGAGAACAAAGAGGGGGCTGGTTTCCTGTGAGTTGTACCATGGACCAAAAAGAGAAACGAAACCAAAAAGGTTAAGATACAAATTCTATTGTCAATTTTGGTTGACGTTATGCATTATTTTAGACTAGCAGAGCACGATATGGTTATTACGACATACGCTATAGTAATGAATGAGTGTGAGAAAAATGGGGCTGTGTTTCGGGTAAAATGGAGACGCATCGTTGTCGATGAAGCGCATCAGATTAGAAATTACAAATCGCAAACTTCTGATGCCGTGTGCAGATTAGCGGCGGAGTCTCGGTGGGCACTAACTGGAACTCCCGTCCACAATAAAGAGCTGGATATGTACGCTCTATTGAAGTTTCTGAGGTGTTCACCATTCGATGACTTAGCGGTAAGTTTTGAATTGCATTATGTTCTTTTTCAAATGGAAATTAAACCTTGCCTGCCTCTTATATTTTGAAACGTATAGAAAAATTTTGTTTTATATTTAAACCATTTCTCCTAACAAGCATTTGTTTTTCCATTGGAATTTAGGTGTGGAAGCGATGGGTAGGTGATAAAAGTACCGGTGGTCAGGAACGTCTTCACACGGTCATATCGTCGCTCATGTTGCGAAGGACCAAAACCGAACTGATGGAAAAAGGTACGTTGCAATGCATGCCTGACAGAAAGTGGGAATTAATATCTGTGGAACTGTCCAAGACGGAGATGGACGTATATCAGAAGATTCTCTTGTTCTCGAGAACTCTTTTTGCGCAATTTCTTCACCAACGAGCTGAGAAAAATCAAGATGCGATAGATTTGAAATACACAAACTTTGCTACACGTAAGTAATAGGGTGGTACAAACATGTCCGAACACAACCATAGTGCTTCCAAATCGCAGATTTTTACCTTTTTTGAGTATAAATCTTTGATTTTCTTATCTGTTAAAATGATGCACATAACAAACTAAACACTGTGCTTTAAAAAAGTAGTAACAAATACCTTTTATTATCATTTTTTTGATTGCAAAGTTCTTAAAATATTTTCGATATATGCAGTGTATTTTTGTAGAACCAAATGGTCCAAATCAGGAATATTTTAAAATGAGAGAGAAATTACTGCGTGTTCACAAAGTCAAGGACATCAAGCAGCACGATATTTTGGTTCTTCTGCTGAGGTTAAGGCAAATATGCTGCCACCCTTCCCTGATAACAAATGTAAGTATTACAAAGACACAGTAATTCTTCATTTTGACGTATATCTAAGAAAAGTCGATCACACATTGTCTTTCAGATGTTGCATGAGGATATGGAAGAAGTAGACGAAGACGGCGACCTTGAAGAAACAAACATCCTCGATCAGTTGAACAAACTGGTTTTGAATGACGATCACGACACGTCTAATCCGGCCGAGGGTTTGTCTAATCAAGAGGATGCCCCTCGCTTAAAGGAAGCGGCAAAGACCATTCTGAATCTCTCAAATCCCGTCTTTTCCAAGGAGAGATTGAGTAGCAAGGTAATTTGATTCAAATGTGACATTTGTTGTAATCTGACATGTATTTTTTTTTAGATAAAAGCAGTTTTAGATGTTATTAAAGAAAAAATTGTGAAGACTGACGACAAGGCCATCATCGTTTCTCAGTGGCCGTCGTTCCTTAGATTAATAGCGTACCATTTAGACAAAGAGCGTATCCCCTTCGATCAACTCGATGGTAGTATTCCGGTTAATAAGCGGATGATCATGGTGGACAAGTTTAACAGTCCTAGCGATAAGATGAAGGTATGTATAAAAATTGCACGAAGTGAATCGAGCGCAGATATACAGGGTGCGCTACTTCCCACTGACATTTTCTTAGAAAAAAAAACAAATTGAAGTATTTTTTTTTTCATGCCTACAGTTGTAATGTTCCCGAGATCAAAAGTCAGTCAGTATAATTTAGAATATACAGGGTGTTCTCAAAGATGAATCACTTGTTTTAACATTATGTAGAATTCGTAAAAATACCTATATAAAAGTTGCAAAATAATGAAAGTACTAATAGTTAAAAATTTAAGTACAGTAGAACCTCGATTATCTGACCCACAGACCACCTAGACTGGCTTATAGAGCGACTTTGGTGAAAACACTTCGGAGCCTGATTTGGTGCCCAGCGCCCAGTCGTGTCCTAGCATTTGACGTGTACGCATCGCTGTGATTTCGATTATTAGACGTTTTATCATGGGCAAGTGTATTGTAAAATGTTGTGTAAATACAAGTGATCGAGTTGGTGAAGAGAAGCGAAAAGTTTCCTTCTTTAGGTAAGTATAAAAAAGGAATATATAAAATGTAAATATGTACGCCATTTTTCGGTTGACGTCACAAGTTTCCAGGGTTAGCTTTATAATTTTGTTCGCCCACATAGTGTAGTGATATTGTTATTATAAAATTATGAATGAATTACTATAAAATATTTTTAGTAATTATTTACTTTATGTGAGTCAAGTTTTTATGAAATTTTACCAATTCCCGTCATTTCGAGATTGCTGAAAATTAATAAAATATTTTTTTCAATTGAAAAAATCGCAAATAAAACTAATTTCAAATTCATGTTCACTACCCTAGAAATGGAGAGTTGACAAAATGTGATTAGAAAAAATCAGAGTTTTGTGACAAAAAAAATAATTAGCAAGTACATTATAGTATATATTGGCGGTTTTGTAATAACAAGTTCTCTAATAAAGCCAATAAAATGTAAAGACTGTGTAAATAGTTTAATGTCAAATACACAGTATTCGTACAGTCAATTAATTTTTATTAAAGATCGTGGTTGTTTGAGGTATCCATCTCGAGATGTCGTAGTAATATGCCAAGAAACAGAAAAATTAATAAATTTTTTTAATAATGATGAAAGCAGAACACCTAGGTTACAGAAAAATAAAATTGTTTATCATGTATTAAAAAACTTTCTGAATGCGAACATATTTGAAAATTTGCATTAACATCAATTTGATAATTTGCCTAACAATTGTAATCATTTAATAGAACTTGTAAGGGCTGAATGTGAAAAGTATATCGATGTACGAATAAATCATGAAGTCAAATTATTTAATTCGGTAAAATCTACGAAAAG